TCCAATTCTGGGCAGTCAGAACATACAAATTGGTTGGTAAATCTGGGATTGCACGAAGAAATTTGCATGCATTTACACACAAGACCTTGAGCTTTGAAAGACCAGCGAGACTTGGCAGGCTACGAAATTTATTGGCTTCAAGAAGCAGATCTTCTAAGGAAATTAGGCTACATAGATCCTTAGGGATTGCATCCTCAGTTGACAAGCAGCAGCCTGCAAGACATAATAACTCTATTAAAGAGTTTAAGCCATGTAACGAAAGGGGTAAAAGATGGAATTTCAAAATTCTCACCAGATAGAGATAAAATTCTCAACTTCTTCAATTTTACTATGGAAGATGGAATTTGTCTGATGCGCGTGTTATCGGCTTGCAAAATTGTCAATGATACCATGTCCCCTAAGCCCTTAGCCAACTTTTTAAAACTATAACAACCATTCAATATAAGAGTTTCAATAGACTTGGATTTATAGAAATTCAGTGGGAGATTCTCTAGCCTGTAGCAGCCTTCAAGATTTACCATAGAAAGTCTTCCAAGATCCCCGATGGATGAGTGAACCTTATACAAGTACTCACAACCTTTCAATATCAACTTCTCGAGATTTGGGAATTTTGAAAAGTCTGGTGATATTCTTATGCGATTATCATTTTCGACATGAATGATGTCATCATCATTGACCAGATATGGGCGTCGTTCATACACAAAAAGATAATCAGTCATATTTTCGTTCATAATTTTGTCCCATACCAGACTAACACCTGTTTTCTTCACCTTCGCCCGTTTGTTCACTATTATTTCAATCCAGACTTTATCACCGTCTTGCAATTTGAGCTCGTCATTTGATAACTGTCCCTGCCAAAGATAATCTGTTCGATAACTGGAATAGGGTGTGATCATGGCGTCAAGCTCAGTACCCTTGGTCATGTTTTTAATGCTAATACGACAACCATTGTATAAGCCTGAAGAGCAAACAAAGGACAAAGTTAACCCTTTCAAACTACGACCAACACTTTGAGGCACAGTGAAATACACAATATTATCTTCATGGACACAGTGGAACCAATTAGGAATATCATTTCCACTGAGAAAAATGCCACCATATCCGCAAGAAGTCCATCCCTATACCATGTAGAGCCAAATTATTATAAGAAATTCATACTTATGCATGCATGTGTACATGTGCGTTGTATGTATGTGTGTGAGAGAGAGAGAGAGAAGGATTGACCTGTAGGATGTTCTTCCTAAAATGGGCAGTGAGATTAGTGCAATTTCCCATATCAACCATTGTCATGGAGTTTAATGACTTATCCAGGCCTGGAATCTCAGTGAGTTTGCCCGAATCACTTAGATACAATTCTCTTATATTTGACATTTCTGAAAAATCTGGCATTTTTTCCAATGCAATGCAGCCATTTGCGTTTAAGACTTTCAAATTTGTTGGTAAATCTGGGATTATACGAAGATTTCTGCAGCCATATAAAGACAAATCTTGAAGCTGTGAAAGACGACTGAGGCTTGGTAGGCTGCAAAAATCATTTCCTGCAAGATCTAAATTTTCTAAGGAAATTAGGCTACCGAGATCCTTGGGGAATGCATCATCAGTTAAACTCCAGTCTGCAAGAGCTAATTCTCTTAAAGAGCTTAAACTTTGCAACGAAGGAGGCAAAAGATTTGTTGATGGCGACCCTTTCACATAATAACATAAAGATAAAACTTTCAGTTTCTTCAATTTTAATATGGAAGATGGTATTTGTCTTATGGCTGTCTTATTCGCTTCCAGAGTTGTCAATGATACCATGTCCCCTAAGCCCTCAGCCAACTTTTCAAAACTTGAACAATCATTCAGTAGAAGAGTTTCAATGGACTTGGAATTATAGAAATTCAGTGGGAGATCCCTTAGCATTTCGCAGAATTCAAGATTTACCAAAGAAAGTCTTCCAAGATCCCCGATGGATGAGTGAACCTCAGACAAACTCTTACAGCCTTCCAATCTCAATTCCTTGAGATTTGGGAGTTTTGAAAAGTCTGGTGATTTTGTTAGCTCATAGGAATAACTGAGATTAAGGATTTTCAAATTCTCATGCAACTGTTACACAAAAACAAAATTAGAATGGAAATTAAAATCCAAAAGGAAGGTCTCTGATACAGAAATTAAACCAAAATGAAGAGAAGGTGAAGTATAATATATGTATAGAACCAGAAGGAAAGAACCAACAACAACTAGGTTGAGATTATTATACCTTGCAATTCTTCCAAACTATTTTGAGTTTGCTCCACTGCAGGTCTAAAGCAACTAGTTTTGGTTGCATAGGAAAGTCATCTGGTATGGACTCTAAAGGAAAATAATGCCAGCTCAACCATATTAACTTTTTGGGAAAATCTTTGTACTCTCCAGTGAGCTTTACGTTGCTGAGGTGGAGTAACCTCAGTTTTTTCATGTTGGTAAATGCTTGTGCACTGAATCTTTTCAAATCTAGATCTGAATCTACATCCGAATCTACATCCGAATCTACATCCAAATCCAAATGTAGAGCAACTCCTTCAATTTTTTTAGTTCCCTGTTAACAAAAGATACCGAGTTAGAAAAATGATTTACAAACATGAAAAATCCGCATACGTATTAACCAAAAGGTATAATTAATAGTATTGGACCATGTTACGCCCTATAGTTTGTGTTTGCAATCAAAGCACACATTTTTTTGTTGGTTATGCCAAACTGAGCTTTGATCTTTGTGGATATAATATAAGAAATGGCAACGGGGCCTCAGGTTCAAATACATATGGCACCGTGGTAGTGTGGATTTGTGAGAACCCTCTTTTACTTTGGTATAGACTATCGCTTGTACTAAAAAAAAAAAAAGAAAAGGACATTTTAATTTATTATAGACACGGGACACATATGCTTCTCTTGCATGATGCATTCTAAAACTTTACTTGCAAAGTACTTACAGATTCATCGCTCAATACATCTGTTATGTCTTCACATTTCCACAATCTACTAAATTTTTCACGGTGACCCTGGGCATTTTCATAAACGATCTCTCTTCCCATGTCTCGAAGCAAATCATGCATCATCAGCTCGTTTTCCTCACTAACAGTTACAAGGCACCGTTCAATGAGGACACTGATTCCTATCGTTGCAGAAAAGCCACATCCATCTAATATTTGTGTGACATAGTCCCTGTCCATTCCAATAAAGAAACAAGACATGTCAAGGAATATCTCTCTCTTTGTATGATCAGGTAGCCCGTCATAGCTTATTCTGAGTATTTTTTGAATATCTCCATCAGGACTTCTTTCCAATTTCTCCAAATGGCTTTTCCACTCCGCTATGGGTCTTTTAATCAGAAAAGACCCCACAACTTCAAGTGCTAGAGGCAAGCCTTGACAGTAACGAATTACACGTTTTGACAGGTCAAGATATTCTTGATTAGGATAACCACTTTCAAAGGCATGCCAACCAAAGAGCTCTAGAGCTTCTTTTTCATCCATTTCTTGAGCCATATATATGCCATCCACTCCAACTTGCTCTAGCAAATGTTGATTTCTTGTTGTTATAACAATTCTCTCCTACCTTCAAAGCTACCTTCAAATTTGTTATAAATGGCTTTGGCAAGCGTTGTTTTCCCAATGCCGCCCATCCCCCAAATACCAATCATGCGAACAACATCCTTAGAACCTGATTTTTCAAAATCTAAGTGATTACGCAAAGCCTCCAGCCGAGAAGTAATTCCAACAAGGTGTTCGATGTCTAATTGGTATTTGCTGTACAACTGCTTATTAACCTCCCCAAGAATTTTCTTGATAAACTTTGCTTCATGCCTGACAATTAAACAAAGAAGCAGAACTACGAATCATTCGATGTGGAACAAACTACAAGGTTAAATTGAATCCCTAACTTTATAATTTAGAATCAAGATATAATTAAGAATATGGGGATTTAACATTATCAAGTAAGAAAGAATGCATAGTTCAAACCAAACCAAAACGAAACGAACAAACAAACACCAAAGTTCAAAGTCAAAAAGAAAGAATGCATAGTTAAAACATAGTTGGAAAAACAAAAACAAAAAGGACAGAACATTTTTAAGGAGATGATATAATCCAAGGAACAAGAAATTAGTAATTACCCATTGTCAGCATTTTTAAGATCTTCCCCACACAAATCTGCAGCTTGAGTGAGAGCATTTCTCCACCGCTGTACCTTTTCTTTCTCATGTTTACCTTCACAGATGCCCGCTTCATGTTTCTCAAATGCTTGTGCAAAACTACCAGTCTGTTTCCGGACATCTGAAGGATCAACATTATAGAACAATGGAATAACCTTTAGCCCCAATCTCTCTCTACACTCCATGATCTTCACCAGCTCATCAAGACACCAACTGGAATCGGCATACCGCTTTGAGAAGACAATTATGGAGATCATGGACCCGTGGATTGCCTGCTCCAGTTGGTTTTTTATAAATTCCGCTCTTTCTAGCTCGTTGTCGTCAAGAAAGGCGCGGATGCCGGCATCAGATAATGCGGCGTGGAGGTGGCCTGTGAAGCCCTTGCGTGTGTCTTCACCTCTAAAGCTCAAAAACACTTGGTACTTCCAAGTTCTTGAGGAGGGGGCTTCAATGGATGTTCTGTCACCCATTAATTGGTACTACAGAGAACGCTTGTACGGTGAAGGCTTGAGCTGAAGGAGTTGTTTCGTAGTTATTTTTGCTTGGCAGGGGTCGGTGTGCTGCAGCAGAGATGAATACATTATTGAAAGAAATGCCTATAGTCAAGTCAAGGTCCTCGAACACCTCATGGACGCGGATAGAGGCAGACACAGCGTGGAACTACATTGGAAAGAGCTCCGGCCTTGTGCACGTGAGTTGATTCCTTTTTGAATGCTCCAACATGCCATGTGTTGGTTTTTTTTTTATGCGAGAAAGGAAATTAGCAAAGACGCGACCCTCTAGGGCACTCAGTAACACAGGCCCAAATAGTTCCAAAAAAAATGAAGAACCAACAGAATGAGGGAGACCACTCTCCCACAGCTTTGAAGGCGAAAACGAATAGCCAGGGGGGAGCAAGAGCATCGGCTTCCCAAAAGACATGAGAAAAGGAGACTTGATCACATAATGCTGTGAGATGTAGGATATCTTGGACAAGCTGGTTATTGCACTAGGGAGTCGAGCAGTGCTTCATGCCTGGCAATTATGGCAATTAAACACAGAAGAAGAACTACGAATCATTCCATGTGCAACAAACTACAAGGTTAAATTAATTCCATAACTTATCAATTTACAATATTTACTTTTTCAATACTTTTTTCGTTTGCCCATAACGGCTTTCGGATTGAACCCAAAGAAGAACAAGAACAAGAACAAACCCAATCCCAATGGCAATAGCAATAAGCTATCTCAAATCCAAGACCCATTTGCTCCTCTCTCTCCCAAAATCCAGTGTCCAGTGATGATTTTCTTTCGCCAACTTCTGTTTTTTTTTTTTTTTTTTAACTAGTGATATTAATGGTTAAACCAAGAATCTAAAAATGGTTGATCACGTGTTTATCAACTCAGAATTGATGTAGCACATAATTAGTCCAAGGTTGAGTTTCTAATGTTTTCAAAAAGAAAAAAAAAACAGTTTCCAATATCAGCTAACACGAATTTCAGGCTAATCAGAAAAGAAAAAAAAAATTATTGTCTACACTGTTTCTATCCTTTGCAAAGGTTTGCAAGTCATCCTTGTAGCAGAAATATAAAAATAAAAACAGATGTACCTTTCCCTAGTCGGTAGTTCCTTGCTGGGTCCGTTCGGAGAAGTTGAGAGGGGAAGCGAAGGTCTGGGGGGGTAAAGAAGGGAGGGAATAGGAGGAGGAGAGGGAAGGAAAGTCACTGATACCGAAAGAGAACGATGGTTGAAACTTGTATATTTTTTCTCTAGTTGTGTATATTAGTTTACGGGTTTTAAAATGCAATAAAATATTGCATAACACACCGCATGTATCATGATTCATGCTTCATGACGAGGACAACAGATCAGATAATAATAGTCATTTGGAGTTGGAGTGTCCCATTTTTTAGGGTTAAACATTTTTTAGTCATTGAGTTTTACACGAAAATTCAGTTTAGTCATTGAGAAAAAATTTAGCCAAATTAGTTATTGTATTTCCCAAGTTTACAGTTTATAAACATTCTGTTATCTTTCGTTAAATGTAGCTTTTATTTTTATTTTTTCAGGAAACACCTTGAGTCTTCTTCCTCTAACTACACTTAACGAAAGATAACGGAATATCTATAAATTGTATAATTTGGGAAACACAATGACCAATTTGGCTAAATTTTGTTCTGAGAGATGAAATTAAATTTTCGTATAGAATCCATTAATAAAAAAGATATTTAACCCATAATAATAAGATTACAACCCGTGCCCCTCCTACCAGGGCTTCTCACGTATAGGCTGGAAACATTGACCAATAATAAAAAAATTTGTCAAGTGGATCAAAAGGTTCAATGGTATTGCAAAGAATTTCGATATAAATTGAAACGTGTCCTTGAGTTGCTTCGAATTGGAAACTACAAAGCTAAATGTGATAAAATTGAAAACTACAATGATAACTTATACAAAATTAAAACTATAGAGACCAAAGTGATAAAACCGGCATACTATATGGATCAAAAATGACTTTTTGCCCAATGAATATTAAGTGAGAAATGAATTTTTGTAAATTAAATTAAATTGACTTTCGTACACGCATACTTACGTACACGCAGTGGCGATGACAATATCATATTATTATTGTCTCATCTTCGATCAACTTCCGGCGAAAAAGCCGGCGATCGGCCAATCAGACTGCCGAAGACGCTCCTCCGCCATTTACTCTCTCTCTCTCTCTCTCTCTCTCTCTCTCTCTCTGAGGTTCAAGCCCTTGAACCCTTCGACTCCCTCCCTCTCACTCCTGCAGATGAATCTGTCAGAGACTCTGCTTTGTGCCGATGGATGCTCCATGATTGATTGTAGAATGGTAAGTTTCACTTCATTTTCACAGGCATCTCTTGTTTGATGAAGAAGTTTTACTGTTGACTGATATAAGAAGTAGCTTGAGAA